CCCCCCAATACTATATAGAGTGGAGTGAAGCCACCTGACCTCCAGTTTCTTTGTACAGCCAGTGGCTGCAAGGCAGAACTAAAAGAACAGTGTATTGCACTTGATAGGAATTTTTGATGTACTTAGAGCTTAGGTGTAGTTCAGTAGTAGGAATAGTCTTTTATGTGTATTAAAAATGCCTGGGTCTTTCCCCCACTTCCTCTGAGCAGTGCTTTGCAGCAGCTACTACCTCTGACTCAGCTGCTTGGACTCTGGATTCATTATCAAAGCACTGTCTATCATTCCATCTCCCCATTCAGACAGAAATCTCTATCTCCCCATTTTATGGAACAGAGGTAAAGTCTTTATCTAAATTGCCTACTGAAAGAAAGATCTGTTTGGGAAAGGATGATTCGGGGCCTCACCAGAGTCCTTGTGATGCCATGGAGGTTTGATGTTAGATCTCTACTGTTGACAAAAGTAGCTTTGTGAGATTCTGGGACTCCTGCAGCAGTGCTCCTAGGGCTTCCTGTACTGCTGATAAGGCTTTCTATTTCTGGTACTGATGGTGCCAATGTAACTGGTACTGGAACAATTTGCCCAGATGCCAGTTGTCGCATCAGCTTTTGGTAATGATGCTGTGCCTGCACCCTTGTAGCTTTCTTCAGACAAGATCAGAACTGACAAGAAATCTCTGCTTCTCCAAGTTGGATTTGCTGAACTCGGTGCACATTGTGGCACATCATGGTGAGAATTCTGATTTTTGGATCTCGCATTTTAAAATATAACAAAGCTACCCATGTTGTCAAAAGCTAGCTGCTTGTAAACCATGTGTACTGTTTAATCAGTAAAATGTATTTGTATCCCTTCAAATCACCTGTCATTTTACAGCCAAGTCCAAGTCTTACACTAGCTCCACATGTGGTAAGTGCATACATGAAATGCTGGGAAACCTAAATCTAAGGGATTTGTACTGGGCTTTGTGGAGCATGGGAGAATTTTGACTAAATATGAGCATTCATCATGCACAAAATGAAATGTAGATACTTTGCGTTCTTGTCTAAAGTGTTGTGTGCAAGCAGGTGGTTTCAGTTCTTATCAGTCTGTCTTGAATTTGTTCTTTATCTTTGGATCTCTGTGGCTGACTCCAACTTTTGAGAAGTCAAAGTGAAACTTCTGTCAGAGGTTTTGGCTTTCAGATGCGTCAGGCAGGAGCCATTCAACACTGAACTTGGCAGAGGATTGTTAGGAGAAAGTAACTTTTAACTCGCATTAAACTAGTTCATGTTTGAGAATCTGCTGGATGCTTCATGAACGTTGCTTGAGTTTAGTTGGCATGGGGTAAAATGTTACTCTAAATGTAAATAGTTTGCACATTGCAGACCTGGTGCACTTGTGTGTGTACAGGCATGAGTTCTCATCATTTTGAGTGATTCCAGTGTACAGGCGAACTGAACATTTTAATACACATGGTAGTAAAAGAAGTGTCCCTAAAGAGAAAAGGCGTTACTTTATTCTTTTTTACTTAACATTTTTTTACTCTTATTCTATTTGAGGTGCCTGTCAGAAGCCGTAATCAACATTTGCAACATAAATAACAAAACCAGACACTTGTAGCAGACTCCCAACAAAACAGGACTCCTGAACTGAAGAGGAAAGCACTTCCTCCCAGCACAACCTGGCCTTCTTCAGGTTTGAGAGAGGGCCTAACCTAAATATCAGGTAAAACAGTAACTTTAGGTTAATGGGGGTAAGTAACCACTATGGAATCAAAAAGGGAGAAAAGGCTGTAAAATTGCAGAGCAAAGGAGGTGACCTGGAGTAGTTACAGAAGGTGCAACTGGATGCACAACTACCCCTACCACCAACCTTGGGCAGGACACTTTCAAAATGGCTCTTTTTACAGTTGGGGGTAACTGGATGTCACTGTATGAGTGACTGATCTGAGGGGCACCTGCAGAAGCCAGTGAGAGCAGTGGCCCTGCCAGGGGGCACCAGCCCTACTACCAGTATCAGTGTTGGCTGTTGGGGTGGGGGGGCTCGTGCACGCCCTACCAGTTGCCAATGTGTCACTGTCAATGAAGTAGACACTGCAAATGACTTATGTGGGCTCTATCTGAGCTGCACGGGTGGGATAAGGCTATGCTGATACAGTTTTTAGTGAAATTCTGACCATGTGGCATCTGCTGTTTTCAAATCTTACTACTTCCCCTTCCTTCAGAAACTAGTGGGAAATGGGAAGAAGCTGCAGGGGCCTGGGCTGGGGAACCGCGTTGCTATCCTCCACTCCAACAGGGCAGTCTAGTGCCCTTTGATGCTGGCGGCAACAGCCAGGGGTTGCTCTACTTTCCTGCTGCTCTCCTCCCCTGCTGCTGTAAAGCAACCTTGGAGCAAAGGAGTTTGTTGTACCGCCTTGAACACAGCCTCTCCTGTTGGACACCCCAAGGTGATGGGGGCAGGGGCAGCTAGGAACCCGTGAGAGTGAGCGACTGGCTCCGTGCCCACAGGGACGCGGCAGGTGGGGGCCACTCTCCCTGCACTGAGCAGTGGCTGGGAGGACCCGCTGGTGGAGGCTGCAATGCGCAGGCGCTGGGGGGGAGACGGCCGTGCCTGCACCCCTTGCTGCGCACCTATTGCCTAGCAGCTTCCCTTGTCACGGCGCAACGCGCCACGACAGCCCCGGCTGGGCCTCGCCCCACCCCCACCCATTCCGGCTGCCCTGCGAGGAAAGGGGGCGGGCCCCACTTCGATAGACGTGCGGAAACAACCTATGAGCGCAGCGCTCGCGGCCCCCGGCCGCCCGCCGCGGGCCAGGGGGAAGGGGGCGCCGGAAGGGGACGGGGAGGGTAAGGGGCGGCGCGCACGTCACAAATGTTCGCCCTTCCGCTCTTAAAGGGCCCGCGGCTCGGCCGCTGCCCTG